TGAAACACGTGAAAAAAGTTGTTCAAGATGATTTAATTGAAGGTGTTATTGCTAAAAATAATATTAGATTTGTTGCTGGGAATGCTGGAATTACAAGATCCGCGTTCAAGTATTGCAGACATAAATGCATTTTTGTTCTAGAAGTTCTTAAGACTGTAGATGATATTGTTGTATTATACAAGCCTTTCAAACACAATAAAGATGCCTTTTTAACGTAAAATTTGAATTAAATTTTATATAGTTGATATTTTTTTAGGTTTAATTTTTTATTGTTACCAAACCAGGCAATAGTAAAACGCCCGTTTTAACCATTGCCTGGTTTGGTAACAATAAAAAATTAGCATTATTTCGTGCTTGTACAGTATTAGATTGTACAAATTGAGAAATAAAGAATGAATTTCTGTCGCTGCTGCTTCTAAGTTATTGGCTAATATGGTATACCCATATAAAAGAATGGGAATCTCAATGGTATTTATAATAAAAGATTAACTTTGAATAGTGTTTATAATTAATATTTCAGGGATAGATAACTTATTTATTATCTAGAGAACAATAATTACTGGTTGGGATAAAACTATATGTATGTTCATATTTAATATATAATATCAAATCTCAAAATTTTTTTAATTATTCAAAATTTTATAGGGTCCAAATTTGTTTTATGTTGATTTGGATAGTAGTTGTTACAAAAATGATATATTTTTTGTTGGATCTGGTTCAACATTTGCATATAGTGTACTGGATAGTTGACTAGATTATGAATTGTCTACAAATGATGCTATTGAACTAGGTAGATGTTTAATTTATCATGCTACTTATAGAGATGCTGCTTCTAGTGGCTTTGTTAGAAGTACATATATAATTCAAAGTGGTTTGTTTTTTTTAATATTATGTCAAAATTTTTTTATTTTTTCTTACTTTTTAATAATTTTAAAAATTTTAGTTTATCATGTTAAAGAACAAGGTTGGGAATTTATTGGCTTGTATGATGTTGGTAATTTACATTGGGAATATCATAGATTATAAATTAATAAAAATATTAGTAAATGTAAATATTTATGAAATTAAAATATTTATTAAGTTTATATATATACTGTATATATTTTTTTATTTTGGCAAGATTTTATTTCAAAATAATATAATATTCATAATAAAAGAAATGACATTTATTTAAAATAAAAATTACAAATTTAAAAAAATTAAAGAATAACTACAATATCTGAATATAATTACACACACACACATTACTGATTAAGAGACTATAAAATTAATCTAACTATCTATAGGAAGAATTGGCTAATTAGTTATATCACTTAATTCACTAGCAGCATTTATAGATTTATAACTCATTCTAATATTTTCAAACTTATTATCATGCTAAAAATGCATGACGTTTAGCCCCTTTCCCTGTAGCTCTATACAAGGCCAATAAGGCTTTTTGGCAGCATCATCTTCACGTGAGAAGAGTACAATCCTAACTTCCAAAGGGCAAAGTTTTTCAGCATACTCAAATACCCTATTAAAATAGTCTTTTAAATTGGGTCTTGAAGATGTAGCCAAAAGCTCGAGAATGGCTATAGGTTTGGAAGCACCAGGTTTGCTAATTGTTAGGTTGCAGAAGTTGTGTTGGAGAACACTGTCTGTGTTAATTCTTTCCAAATGCCACTGGCCAGTTACCTCAAAGCCATGTCCCTCTACAAGCCAATGATGTAAAGCTCAGTATATTTTTGCATCATACATACTTTCTCTAGGAACTTTTACATTTTGCTCAGAACTACATTAATTTGATTTGAGCTTTTGTAAAAGTATTCTGACCCTAGAGCAATAGTTTTGGAATCAAATGTACAAACAGCAGATTTTAATATCTCTAGGATATCTACTGATCTATCATTGACTCAAAGATATACTTCTATGTTGGGGATAAGACAAGTTTCTGTACATTGTCTTTTATTTGGAGTATTTGAAGCATTTATCTGATTGATAAATCTTTGTTTCCCTAATGCAGTTGATGTTGAAAATTCTGTCAGTGGTAAAGATGCCCTTTGTCTTGTTTCGTGTTATTCTATAAAGCTTGGACTTTGTGATTTTAACTATCAACCTATAAAAAGCAAATTAGATGAGAAATATTTCGCATAAAGTATAATTAAATAAAAAATAAATATTTTTAGATAAACAGCAGATGCAGGGATATACTCAAATTAATTTTTATTAACAACATTGGCAAATTTGGTGTCCAATTGGTTTTAGACATATATCCAATTTGTTTTGGATATTAAATATAAGTCCAATTCATTGTTCAAATAACTTCAAAACAATTAGACATAGCAGCTTTGTCAACCATTAATTAATAAAGAAAGTGCATAACAAACTCCTTCTGGAGAGTAGTAGATCTTTATTATTAATAAAGAAAGTGCATAACAAACTCCTTCTGGAGAGTAGTAGACTTTTATCAAAAATTAAAAAGGTATAATCCCATAAGGTTTACTAAGTGTACTCAGTTCACTAATCTATTTTAGTATTTGTAAGAGTAAATATGCTATGTGGTAGCATAATACCCACACCCCTATCAACCATGGTTAACAGGTACAAAATACCTGGCTGAGGCCCCATTTATCTAAATGGTTATTATTCTTTAAATACTTACAAGTTTATTGTTGATAAGTCATTCTGCTATGTCAAGTGCATCTTTCAAAGTTCGTATTTCATTATTGACAATCTTATGCAAAATGCTATAAAAAGCACTATGTGCTTCAGTTTTTGTAGTATTTGGATAATTGTCAATAATTAAAGAGATATAACGATAAAGTATCCACTTTTTGAATAGAATAAGTGCGAAGAACATGGTAAAGAGAATATTGCAGTTAAGAGAAGAAGGAAAATTATAGGCAGAACTGGCAGCAAAGATAGTAAATATTCTAAATAGTAAAATTAAAAAAAAAGAGTAAAGAAAAAAATATTAGTAGAGTAAGAAAAAATTAACAGCAAAAAGTAAAGAAGTTATTTGCGAAAAATATTTGCAAAAAGTAAGAAAAATTAACAGCCAAGAAGTTATCTATAAGCGTAAAGTAAGAGTAAGAAAAAATTAATAGCAAATAGTAAAAAAAATAAAAATATGTTGTGTAAAGCGAAAAATCAAGATCAAAACACACGTAACGTATTATCAGGTCTGCAGGTATTGTTTATATACATGCAACACATCATCAGTGCTAATTAATATAGTGCTACTGTGTAACATAAAGATCATCAAAACTAGTGCTCAGCAAAATCGAACAAAAACTCTAATATCAAGTTTTTGAATCTATCAATTTACAATATTGTGCATTAAATACAAATTTTTATTTATAGTATATATATAAATCTAACAGGAATCCGATCTTACTTTAGACTTCATTAACTAACATGAAGTTTAAAGTCAGATTAGAGTAAACATAGATTTTATAATTGAAGCACAATACTATAAATCGATAGATTCAAAAACTCGATAATTGAGTTTTTGTTTGATTTTGCCAAGCACTAATCAAAACCTGCTATTGTGTGACATGATGATCATCAAAACATGTGCAATGCGTCATCAGATCTATCAAAAACACGTGCGCCAAGTATAGTATTTAATATAATTTTTTGGTTGGTACAATATTATACAGTGCTACTGTGTAACATGAAGATCATCAAAACATGCTATTGTGTGACATGATGATCATCAAAACACATGCAGTGCGTTATCAGATCTATCAAAAACACGCACACCAAGTGAAGTATTTGATATAATTTTTAGTTGGTACAATATTATACCGAGATATTGGTGTATTTGATATATCATCATATTTTATCCATCTTTATTTTCTTCATGTTTTTCTAATTTATATAAAACAAAATAAAAACTTAACAAAATAGACATAACCAAAACATAACAACATAAAAATATATAATTTTCTTACTAGTTATAGTAATTTCTACAGGTTTTGGTTTGGTTTAGATGGTGTTGGGTTATTAGTCCAGAGCGTAGCGGAGGATTCTATATTTCTACGCAAAGTGATAAAAATGTTTGTTTGTCCATCCGTACATGTGATATATAACCAATCACAATCCACAGATCGACAAATATATATATAAACATGCTCGGCAAAACTTTTTCCCGAAATATACCATCAAATTTACGTTCATATGATACACTCCAGGCCCATAATGCTATGCATTTTCCTAGTTAGGATAGTTAGTCTTGGGTGGTATCATTGACCTTGGGGCAGAGATGATGATTTTCTGTGGTGGTTAAGACTAAATTCTGCATGTAGTTAAAGACAAATTCTGTGACTAATTTACCAATTTGTGATACCATTTTGTAGTTTCTGCTATTTAATGCGATTAAATTGTTTTTTTTTTCCAAAACATAATCCGTAAACCCCAACAAATCAATGTTGATTTACTGTCTACCTTCCTGGACGACCTGAATTTGTGGTCAATGCTGTGATATTCTGCGCTACTTTTTTTTAAATTCTGATATTTTCGGTGAATAAGGGTGATTTCTGTGGTTGGCTGCATTTAAGAGAAATTCTACGGTTTTCAGTGAGTCACAGAAAATGCTCATTTTATGTTTCTAAATACAAAAATTCGGCTTCATAGTCGCTGTTAGACAAAGTGACATTATTAAAAATAAATTATGGTAGAGTATTAATAACCCACCTAACAAGAAACAAAAAATCGCTTATTTTTATACTTCACATTCATTAGATCTGAGAACGTGTCAAAAGGAAAATACAAGCCTTAGTAATTACTTTACTCTAACACAATGCCAGATCATACTTAACAAAGCAACTCCGTTTTGCTTATAAGTTCTAAATACTGATTGTTTTTTAGGTAAATTAAACCCCATAGATTCGACGATCGCTCCTGCGAAGTGAAAAAGTTAACGATTTTTGACGATCTGGGAAATTTCAAGTCCCCATAACGTATGAAATTTGATAAAGGTACTGATATTGTTATTCTGCCCTTTATAGAATTAGTATATAGCTCTTACCCGATTTGGAAGCCTTTTTTTTAATTCGGTCAAATTCACATTTGAGCGTAGTCATAATTCCCAAAAAAGGAATTACGTGAATTATGTGACTTTTGGGAATTATGGGAATTATGTGAATTTTGCGAATTAAGTGAATTTTGAGAATTTTGCGAATTATGAGAATTTTGCGAATTCTGTGAATTATGTGAATAATAAGAAGCCGTAATAAAAACTCAAATGTACTTACAATTAGCGCTGAAGCTATAAAAGCGCTGGCTGTTGGCTTTTAATAAAAAATCAACTCAGTAGAGTTTTAAAACTTCGAAATCATTATTAGTAGAAGTTGTTCCTTAAAAACATTGTCTCTTTTGACCCAATCATTCATAATAAAAATTTCGATAAACCCTTTACCTGTCTCAATACCTTTTTGAGAAAATCATTATCGGTAATAAAGTATAGTGAAAGTTTGAATTGAACCTTCGAAATTCGAGTAGAAGTGTTCACTCTAGATTATCCGCCTTTTCTTTTAAAGTTATTTACCCTATTTACCCACTGAATTGTTAGTTTCGCTTAAATACCCTGACCTTGATATTGAAATAATTATCGCTCTCAAAAGAAAGAGAGAACCTTATTGCATTATTTCGATCTTATACCCAAGTGATCCATTGTTATAATCAATTAGTTTAACAATCATATTAATTGCCCGTGACCTCACCGGCAAAATCGAAGATCCGATCCCGATATCTATTACCCGTGACGTAAATTGACATTAAATTAAATCACCGATCGCCGCCAGAAATCGTGATTTCGTCACACGTGACTCTAAGCGAACGAAACATTCTAATCAAAAGAAGTAGAAGTATTAGAGTTAGAACTCTTGATATTGTCGAAGTAACATAATAATTATAAGCCCAAGAAAACTCATCTAAATCCGAAAACAACATAACAAGCAGTAATATGTTACACTAACGCTAACACGGAACAGTAACATGTGAAATCTTAGATTTTTGACGCCAATCAAATGCAAGATTTT